CATTCGCGGGGTGTTATTTGTAGAGCAGACACAGTGGAAAATTTCCTGACGTAATATGTGCCGGCTAGAAATACGTACGTAGCACCCTGGTAGTACAAATGCTCTCTCAACCTCGTAGACAGCGTGCAGTTCATCGCAATGGTACCGCTTATACTGTCTTTCATTTGTGTACTTCGGAATTTTAACTCTTACTATCTTGTTTGGTGGATACATGTAGCATTGCCACAGTGTGATGTTCAAATTACATGCATTTTAGAAACTACGGAAGTCCCGTCGTATTATCCACAAATCCGGGTATGAGCTTCAATATGATATATGCAAACGGTATGATCTTGAAAGTCTTTCATTGATGGCCATTTTTATCACTACACACGACCAGGTCTTGTGCACATATGTAGGCAAATTTGGAGTACGAATGTACAATCCTCACAAACCGGCCGTTTCTATACATGGACAGCGAACCGGTCGACCTGTCGGTCTGAGGATACAGTTGTCAGTATCAGTGTCGGACGAACAGTAATGACTTTAGAAATTAGAATTATTTTACCTCGGTTTGGGAAGTCTGCACTATATGATGAGATCTTCCATAACACGACTCCATTTTGGCAGATAGCGCAAATTTGCGTTTCCCATGGTTCAATCATTTGCACCTAGAACAGACGAAAGTCGAGGGACTTAACGGACGCACAATTTATAAATTAAGTTCAACAAGAGTTCCATGACCTTGTCCAAATGATGTTAACCTTTAAGTCTAAGACTAACGAATTACTAGAGTGGATGTTATTTCTTCGATTATCCAAATAAGACCTCATTTGCATGTATTATATCAGTTGATCATATTCTCCACGCATTGTTTGACAGTCTTAAACCAACAAAGAAGGCTAATCTAGCTCATCCTCATAAATTATACAAAAAAGGTCCTGATTGGATAAACTCATGTTTACAATGCAGCAAGTATGAAATTCCAGGTAGTTACCGTAGTATGGAATTATAGCAATTTTTCTATAATTATGCAAATTAGGTTGTCTTCATTTACATAATTAATGTATGCCAATGTTCATGTTGTTTTCAGTTAATTATGTCATGGAACGCAGCAGATTTATATAATTTCCTCATTAGTTATGCAAATTAGATCTTTATTTGCATAATTGCCATCGAATTATGTCAAGCATCACTTCAGCTACCTGCAGGTAAAAAATTACGACGATCCTTCAACCGGTTTAGATTGAGTAAAATGATTTTTAAACAACCCCCCTGCAGCTCCAGAACAAGCTGCTAGGGGGGGGAAACTACTAGAGGCTAACTCTGGCGTCCTCGCCTTCACTACACTGACGTTGTGGTTTTGAAATGAACCCCTGAAAACCTCAACTTGTACTTTTGACCCTTGTCTTCGAGCTGACCTGTGCCGGATCCACAGATGGTGTAACAGATAGGCTGACCTCACGTCATGACCTCACGTCAATCAACATCGACGCATGCGCAGCTTACGTACGGCAGCAAGTTCGTACTACTAGTAGCCTCGTTGCCATCCGCCGTAGTTACATCCGGCTCCCTACTGTCGCAAGCTTTAGCCTAAGACCTTGGTTCGGCCTGGGAGCTAGACTTTATATCGGGCCGTCAACCAGTCCCTTTGGCGGCCCAAGGAAGTACGTTAGCCCGCCAACGGGCCGACTACTAGTAACTTCATCGGGCCGCAACTCCACCGTAGCACTGATTTAGATCGGCGGGCTTCCTACCTTGGGCCGCCGAAGGACCTGGTATTCAGTCTGGGTCCCAGGGTAACCTTGGCCCGGATATTTTCACACAAATGGGGAACCTAATACCGCAGACATCATTCCTCAAATGTTTCGCGCTATTGTGGCTCACATGGCGGTTTTAGGTACATATCTCAACATCCATCTGGTCAATGGTTAAACCAGTTGTGATTCCCCTCCAGGCTTAAGTGAGTTGGTAGTGATAATGCCGGTATAATCGGGGTATTGTCTGGCGATACCGATAACATTTTTAGATTAGAGATCCATAGAATGTGGTGACAGTGAATCAAATGCGCCTGTTTCGCATGGTAGCCACCATTCCCGCTAATACTGTGACTTACGACTCTAGCTTTGTCAGTTTTCAATATGTCTTTCGTTATTGTTTTGAAGTAGTGCATGAAATATGATACCAAAATTGCATACACAGATGAAAACCGCGCGCGCGATACATATATGTATATAATTTTGGAAACTCTTTGTCAGTTTTCAATATGTCTTTCGCTATTGTTTTGGACTAATGAATACACGTGTTATATCATAGCAAAATTGCATACACAGATGTAAACCGCGATATATAATTTTGGAAACTGTTCAAAGCCGTTTTGTTTGATCAACACAGTCACAAAGCGTGGGGATATTTTGGAAGCTTACAGAGAGACAGACAGACAGATAGATCGTTTGAGGCGGACATATACCAGGGGTTTTTCTAAACAGGGGAATAAGGGAGCTGCTCCCACGTGTAACCAGCCAGCTCCCTCATACCAATTTTCAAATTGAACCCAATGTGGTTACTTATACACCATTTAGTCTTTCTCAAAATGATCTTTTTCCAGTAAAGATGTAAAAACAATACAACAATGCATTCTAGCATTACAAACTGTGTTACTCTTATAAAAAAAAATACCCCCTCGGTCGCTTCGTTCCTAGCCATGCTTGCGATCTGCTCTCTCATGCTAACTTTTTCTAGAAAACCCCCTGTATACCACATACGACATATACAAACAGAAGCCTTTGAACATAAGAGGACGATTCTGGATGTGGTTATCTTTTTCATGATCAATGGCGATAGTTTAATTTCTGGGCCATGTTTACTCTTCAAGCAGAGGTTTGGGTTTTGGCTTATTTTTTGGCGTGTTTTTAGGCTTTTTATCGGGGTTTCTTTTTTGCGCAGGCAAAGGTTTGGGTTTGGGCTTTTTTATCGTTTTTTTTATTGCACTGGAATTTTTTATGCCAAAAAATAAAACAGTGCAAAAAAGAAACCCCGATAAAACGTCTAATAACACGACAAAAATAAGCCCAAACCCAAACCTCTGCTTGGAGAATAGGCCATGTTTACATACTAGTATGTCTCATAAAGGGGGGGGGGCAATGTCATCTCCAAGCAGATGTTGGGATGGACTATTGTACAGTGTTCTGACAGCCCGTTTTTTCTCGGACATTCCTCAACCCCCAACACCTTGAAGACGCTGTGGACAGGGAGGGGCACTTCTTTTCAAAAACGGTGTTTCTGATCGGCCCATTACAATAACCTTGATATGGACAATGGTAAGACTGCAAGCAATCTGGATTTGAAAATCCATTCGGTCAGAAAACTTACTTCATCAGCGTGGAGATTGTTTCAGACTAAACGAACTAGGACGCCGACAGGTCCACTTCTGTAGCAGTACGTGAAGAGATCTATGTATACGCTGTTTTGCGGCGTCACGCAAGTGCTACAGCGTGGCATAATCTATAAAAAAAGATGTCTGCAGATGTCATCATACTTGAAGTTTCCGTCGACTGACCCGTCTCAATAAAAAAAAAACGGGATAGTCAAAGTTTTTGATCTTCCCAAAGTATCTGCCCCGGGGTTTCTTTCTGTTTTGGGACGTGCCTACATGTTGTCTCTCCGTTTATATCTGCATAATGATTATGTTGCTTCCCCATGTGACCACTTATGGAAATTAAAGCATCTTAATAAGAGCCCAAATCCCTACAAAGTTGATCAAGGTCCTTTTTTTTTATTTCCCAGAGCTTCGCCAAATCATCGAAAAATCCCCAAATCCCACCCTTAATCTTTCGGAATATATGAATCTTTGTGATGTTTTTATAAGACGTAATATTTATGAACACGCGCCTTTATTGTATAATATTTATAAGGGGCACTCGGGCACTCATTTTGTGAAGCTAGACTGTATTCGAGGACCCAAGAAATGCCTGTTTGTTTTGCTTTCCGAAATTTGTGCTGTTATGTTGACCGTACATGACGTTCACACCTGGAAATTAATGTTATACTCTTTCTTACAGCTTCGACTGTGATGCCGTTGGAATAGAGCGAGAGCCGAACCCAAAATTTAAGAATTCTTTTAACAAACTGCAACCGATCGCGAAGACGACAGTCTTGCAAGAGAACGGCTGTGCACCTGTGTTGTTTACAAGGAGACTGACAATGCTGTGCGCTCGGGTGGAATTGTTATCCCTCATTACGTGACTGTTGTCCCGAGGGGTTTTAACTTATAAGCTTGAGCGACAACCACTATACACAGTGGTTATTCCAGTATTGTCAGCGTTCGATCCGGTTCATACCGGTATCAACTGCCGAAGAGACCTGGTCAGCCCAGGAGTGTCAGAACTTTCTGCAGTTTTTTTTTTGTGTGTTTTGACAAACTTTTGTGTATATGCTTCACGCGGCTTTAAAAAACAGGTGCTACATAAGTGTGTGGACGACTGGGGACCTACTCTGAGCGGACACCGGGACGATGTGTTTCAAGGCGCCGTCGATCGAAGCGGTGCGACGCCGTCGGCACTTGCTGCTGTGCTCGTCCATTCTTCAGATCATGCTGTTCTCGGGGATTCTCCTGGGGTGGGCGAATCTCCTCCCCGTGCTGAGACAGGAGGGCGTCTTCTCTCACCTGTGTGACCAAGATGGCGTCCAACTCACCGAAGGCCAACACGCCAAGCCAAGCTACCA